CTTCCCCTGAAGACGAGCCATGTTTCGTTTGAAACATAAATGGATGTACTACATCCTCTCGCTAGATTACTATCCAAGTAGAGAATTCAATAGGTGGCGCCCCCATCGCCGCACTTTTCCTTGTTTACATCCACTTCAGCAAGAGATATAATTTATATAATTTAGCATGTTTGACTATTGCTACGTCATAACAAAGATGGCTGATTTCAATTTGAAAATGCCGATTTTGGGGACGTAATTGTTCGCAACTAAAACACTTTTAACTCAAATAAATAGCCAGTTAGGACAATGCAAGCAAGGAACTTTTGATCAAAGTAAACTTTTTCTAGACCATACTTTCCCTTTAATCATTGACTCACTCACCGATTCCCTGACTGACTCACTGACTGACTGATTAACTGACTGCTGACCGAATGACCGTTCTACTAAGAAACTGACTTCAAAGTTCTGATGCTCTTCTTAAGTTGGTAGATTCGAGGTATTGAATAAGTTTTTTCTCGTCATCTAGGTGGCTGAGGAGGCGTGGGCCGCTGGCTAACAAAAACAGAAGACTCATTAATTATTTACTTCTGGACAATGATCAATATTTCAAGAAACAAAGACAGTCCTTGGACATTCATTCGAGGACAAATGAGATGAGTCATTCCTAAGTCCTAAGTAAAAGACACCTTGTCACACCCCTCTATGTTTCTCGTCAACCAAGCAATCTTTAGCGTCCTGTAAATCAGTCTCTAGCCTTTTGAGCACACTGACCTACAATCAAATAAAAGTTCATAGCATGCACTAAAGGAAAATGACCAATTTAGCAGTCTACAAAAAAGGATACAAATGGCTATTCTCCACCGATATCGCTTCAATCAACATACCTGAGTGATCACTGTTGATATAGTCGAGACAGAGCTGAATAGCGTATACACGTGCACTAAGTTTTGGCGCTGAAAACGGAGTTTGATTCGTTTGCATGGTTGACAAGAATAACACTTCTTCTCTATGGAGGCTAGTGCCTCTAAGCATACCGTAAATCCTCTCTTAAGCCTCACCTATAATAAGCCTCCCTGTGTTAAGCCTCACCGCCCCTCCCCCTCAAAAAACAAACATTCAAAAAAACACTCCATTCCAGTAAGTACGATAAATTTATTTAAGTAATGTAATTTTAGTTTGTCATTTAAAATTGATTATGGTGATTGATTTGATTGATTTTCTCATGTTGGCATCAATGGATTACGGTAAACTGACTTTACATAAGACTTGACCTAGGAATTTGACTTTTCCAATTTGGTAAATGAAAAGATGTAAAATGCGAACAAGTTTTGAATAAATACGTTATATCACATCCTATTGTATCCAAGTAGTGAACATCGGGCTAAATAAATAAGCCCCCCCCCCCTCTAATAGGCCACCCCCCCCCCAAAAGTACCTGAAATAAGGAAGCTCCCCTGGGGGCCTATTAGAGGATTTACGGTATGTTACTTACCATGAACTGCTTTCCAATTGATAATAACATTCTGAAGTTGTCGAATTATGAATTCTTCCCCCCCCCCACACACACACACACACACCCACACACACACACACACACACACACACACACACACACACACACCCACCCCCACTCCCTCAACTATAAAAATATGTGATATAAATACAGTCAAGCCGAGGTAAGCAATACACAGTGTTTTCCACTGACAGCTCAATCATGATCATTTCCAAGGAAAGAGCAGCCACACTTTACCAACAGATTTCAACTGACGTGCAAAGATCGCTGGGCAAGAAATTGATTGCAAATGTCCAACCATGCCCTGGAGATGTCATCTTGGATTTAGGCTGCGGCACCGGAGAGTTGTCGGCTTATCTGGCGGAGCTTGTAGGGCGAGGTGGAAAAGTGGTAGCCGTCGACCCTGACATTTCTCGGATAAAATTGGCCCAGGAATCACACGGAGAAATCAGTAATCTTGCCATTCACGAAGGAAGCGCCTCAAACTTTCCAGGAATGGATTCAGAGTGTTACGACATCGTATTATGCAACTTTGTCCTTCACTGGATTCAGGACAAACAAGAAGCCTTCAGGAACATGTTTCAGAGCTTTAAACCAGGCGGGAAAATTTTGGTATCGTACGGAGATTCATTGGCTATCATGTTTGAGCGCTTTTTTAAAGAACTCATCCCAGAGAACTGTGACGCTTTACTTAGCAAGTGGAACTTCGTGAAGAAGTCAAAGATTGAAGAGATGTGTGCAGCTGTCGGCTTTGATATCGTAAAGAGTTACGACGTGAAAAATGATGCCTATGTATTCAAAAACAAAGAAGGTATGATTTCGTTTTTCTGGGCAAGTTCTCACGGCGCATTTGATCCGCAGCTGATAACGAAGGACAGACTGGCAAGTTTCTGTGCTCAGTATACAAGTGGGGAAAACTCTTCACCATTTAAGTTGTATCCTGGTGAAGGTGATTGTTATTGTGTGTTGGTCGCAGCCAAACCGGTGTAAAGAGAATAGTTTACAGCTGCAGGCTTCTTTGGAGCTTGCTAACTTAATCATTTCTTTGATTGTTATGGACCTTCATTTTTTAATGTATCTCGACATATGGCTGGAAACTTATGATTAGAACTTTGCTTTATTCCCATTGTATCAGAAAATCGATAGGTAGCTGTTAAAAAAGTTTTAGTATAGATATGGCATTTTCAAACATATTTCACAACCTGTGAACAGAAAACTGTCTGCCTTGAATGTAAATTTAGGTTGCACAATATAACCTTCTGCCTTTTTGCTGTGCAAACAGAAATAGAACTTCCTTTCTTCCCCGAAAATCCTCCACCCCCTTCCCCTCCCCTCCCAGGCGATAAGTAATGACTTGTCCTTTATCAGAGGAAACTGATGCTTCCAAGCATGATCTCAACAGAGGTCGTAGATTGTATCAATATATCGCAGCTTGAGTGTCTGTTACAGATGTTCTTATCATACAAGCCACGTTTTTACCTCCAAGCCGCACGAGTCTTCTATTTATTTTATTTATTTAATCACTTTCACCAGAATGTTGTGAGGGTCGCACAACAGAGCGAGGCTCCCACCCCAGGGAAGGACATCCATCACGTAGTAATCTCGTGTGTGGAAAATTAACGCCTCCCACCCCAACCCTGCGGGAGACGGGACCTCCATTTATTCGTCCCTATCCGAGATGACTAGAATATCTAACCATTTCTTGATGTTCTAGAAAGGTAGCAAATTCTTCTCAATTATTTTAAGACCCTGAGTGTTGGTCCGGCTGGGGCTCGAACCCTCGACCTCCCGCACAACAGTCCAGCGCTCTATCCATTGAGCTAACCGGGAGGCGGTTCACCTTTACCTTAAAAGACTTATTGTTGGCAGTCATGCTTAAGGACACGGAGAGTCGCCCGTGACTCCGCAGTGACTGTAAAAATTAGAGGTAAATAAGAGCCTACGAGCAGCCGTCCTCGTCATTTGCCTTTCAATAAACAAGCGTTTCTTCGTATGCACAAAGATTAAAGGCCTTATTAAGCAAGACGAGTGACCGAGAGGTCTGTGTGTTTCTTCAGAGGTTAAGTTAAGTTATCGCTGTGTCGTGTGTAGGACATTCAAGTGCGGTGTTGACATAACTTTTATATTTATGTCTGATTGATGCAATTAGTTTTTAAATACCTGAACTATCACGCAAATAAATAAAAGCTAGTTGTATATTCTTTATATTCGGTTTATATAGTATCCTACTAGTATATCCTTCGCGCGTTTTTGGGAGGTGAATAATGAAGGATATTCGCAGTTTGAGTAGCAAATCAGGGCGCGCCTATCCACTGTGTTGTTATAGACTTAATCTATCTACCGTATTCCCGCGAATACTCACGTACTAATAAGCGCCCTTCCCCAAATAAGCGCCCACCCCCCAGGCCATAGTGTCAAACAAACGCCCCTTTCGAATTGGCTCCCCCACCCACCCCCCTTCTCCTCTAACTTACTTTAACAGTTGAGATACAAAGAAAGCCTGCCACTTTGTTTATAACTTTGAAGTTTCAACTACATCGGAATGAGTACAGAAGTATAGTTTAATTTTCATCAAGTCACCTCCAGTTTTTTCTATCTTTATGTGCTTACTGCTCTTTTAAATTTTATCTCATTGCCGTGTTTTGGTGAACGCCATTACCTTCTCAGGAGCAACTAGACTAACCATTCTCTAGTGTTCAAGGACCGGTTATCTCTACTCTAATAAACTTGGTGGGATGCTTTGGAAGAAAACAGTTAATACCAAATAATCGCCCCTCCTTTTAGCAGACATTTTAAATAAGTGCCTAGGCGCTTATTCGAGGAAATACAGTATCTGATTATAGCCCACTATTAAATTTTGCGCGAATTTTATTTGCTCATTAAGTCACGAGGTGCACACTCTCCCCCCTTGCCCCCCGCTAATTTTGTACTCAGCACAATATTTTCTTGCTCTTACTCTCTCTCATCTCTCTCTCTCATCTCTCTCTCTCTC